GTGAAGACTTCAGTGTGATTTGCATGTCTAGTGTTAATCTAACACTAATTTAGAGCTCAACTCATCTAAATGAAAGAAGTTTCATCAAAACTATTCTGGAGAAGACAAGAATCACTTAATTTTGTATCTTAAAACTGCTGCTATGTGATTAGATGCTTTTGCAAACTTAATCAAACAAAGCATTTACGGAAAACAGCTTCTTTCTATCATTATCCCCAGCACTATCACTTTTCTAATTGGGCTTGAACGATTCTTATTCCAGAATAAACTACACCTTTTACTGTTACCTGCTGTGTAATAGACCACTGCAGCTTGCATCTGCTTCACAGAATATGTCAGTCTGTCTCGTTAGACTGAAGGTATCAGAGAACACCGTACATGGCACTATTTGTTTCAGGTGTGTCACTGCAATTCTTTCCTCCTTGCTTTTTCTTATTGTAACTTGTCCATTACTTCGAACTGGTCATGTAAAACTATTCTGGATTGGTATCTTTAAAGCTCCCCATGAATGGTCACGTGCTTGATCTCAATGATGGATGAAGTATTTAAATAATGATGGAAGCAGTTGTAGCACAATAATTGTGCTAAGATTTCAGAAGTCAATAATGATTTTAGTTGCTACAGGTTTAAGGTAGCATGAATGTGAATGCAGATAGCATTATATTTTGGTATGCTTCACGAAATAAAATTTTCCAGTTCTGTGTCTCACTGTTAGAAGTGGTAGGGCACACATATGTGTAAGTTAAACTTTTTCTGTGTTTTTTCATGGTCTGAAACAATCCCAGACTTCCAAGGGCGATGAGTGGTAGAAGAGGTGCTCGTGAGGTGTTTATATTAATTGTGATTGTATGCAGTCTAATAATATACTTTCTGCTCTCCCGCTTGATGGAAACTTTTTCTTGATGTCCACTGGATATTAAGTGATTTAAAGACTTGATGAGCAAGAACAAGGTGATTGCAGAAGTACTCTCAGCCAGCTAAAACTGAGCATGCAGCTCATTTTGTTGCTCTGCATTCTGTCTAAATGGGGCATTTAATTATAGGCATCACATTTGGGAGGAGTTCTTTGGTTTACAGCGGATGCCTGATAATGTCATCTGGACTTCTCTTCTGCGCTGAACAGATGCATCTTGTACTGAATGTTACAGCAAGGCTTGGCCTGAGGGTTTGCCAGAACAATGTAGTTGTTTGTATTCCAGTGCATAAGACCTTCAGGGAGCAAACTTAGCGCAGGTATCTATTGCTGAAGTCTGCTAGAAGGACCCACAACTTGCACGCAGCTTGGAGTGCAGTGCTTTCTCGGTGGCTAAGGAAAGGGGTTTTTGGCCAAGACTGTGACTGTCTTTCCTCTTGCTTTTGCGAGGGTTATCGCAGTCTGCCTGGGCCTCCCAGCGTAAACAGCATTTACACAACTAGTGTTGTCGGAGGTTGCTTGAGGAGAGATTCTTTCTTTCTGCTGCTTGTACTTCTCTCTGCTCCAGGATCATGTGCACATATGGATACAGTTTCCAGTTACAGTTTTGACATTTAAATCTATAAATGAGTCTCAAGCAGCTTCTTGTGCTACTGTTGTTGCTGTCATCTCCGTTTCTTCTCTACGGGGATGGGTCTTGTGACTTTTGCAAGCTTTTTGTTGCTTAGTCTATTCTTGAAGGGCACCCAAAATCATATTAAATACTTCTGAAATGGCTCCACAGTATGTTTCTAGTATGTTTTCAGGTGTGTCATGATTTTTTTTTTTAACGTATTTTGAATAGAGCCTAGACTGGTATGTTAGATAGAGTCCTAAGAAATAGAGTTCTTTACTGTGATGCCTGTGTTACCTCATGGAAGGCTAGTTAACTACTGAACATCTGCAGCTTCCTACCAGGGACGTATAGCAGCATCTGATCAGCAGCAACTGCAAGGCTATAGAGTCCAAACATGAGAAATCCAGTGTGTCTTCTGAGGAAGGCTAATTTACCGAGGTGATTTGAAAGTCCTGCTGATGCCTGGTTTTCTGTCTCCTTTGCCTATGATCGGCCTGGGCAATGCATGCATGCCTGTTTATAACTCAGAACATGCAATGCTTTATTTTTCTGCTAAAGGTTATGCTGTTTAACTGATTAATTGTTCAGTGCTGACAGACTAGATTTAGCAGCTCTTGGATTTTAAGAAGATGCAGCACATTGACTTTGTTAAATGCAAACATCTGGCTTTTTGTATTTTAACATATGATAATATTTAAAGAGCCAGTCAGGCTTCTGGGATTTTAAATACTAGATGGGAATTTTATATTCGTAGTATACTGTATTGTATCTAGTAAATACTGAAAGAAGCAGTGGCTAACTCAAAGAGGACCTGCACTTTTCAACTGTCCTGGTTTCAGCTGGGATAGAGTTAATTTCCTTCCTAGTAGCTGGTACAGTGCTGTGTTTTGGATTCAGTATGAGAATAATGTTGATAGCACAGCAATGTTTTAGTTGTTGCTGCGTAGTGCTTACACTAGTCAAGGACTTTTCAGCTTCTCATGCCCTGCCAGCGAGAAGCTGGGAGGGGGCACAGCCAGGACAGCTGACCCAAACTGGCCAAAGGGACATTCCATACCATGTGACGTCATGCTCAGCATGCAAACTGGGGGGAGTTGGCCAGGGGGCGGCAACTGCTGCTCGGGGACTGGCTGGGCATCGGTCAGCGGGTGGTGAGCAACTGCATTGTGCATCACTTGTTTTGTATATTCTTTTATCATTATTATTATTTTTCCTTCCTTTTGTGTCCTATTAAACTGCCTTTATCTCAACCCATGAATGTTACTATTTTTTTTTCCCTCCTGATTCTCTCCCCCATCCCACTGGTGGTGGTGGGGCAGTGAGCAAACGGCTGTGTGGTGTTTAGCTGCCTGCTGGGTTAAACTACAACATCAACTCACAAATGATAGTGCATTCATTTCTGTTGCTACTTTTAAAATTCTCATTATCACCTCTGTCCTGTCACCACCCTAAGCCTCAGCCCTGTCCAGCATGTCTGCTTATCACTTACTTCTGTAACACTTTTTTAGGAGCAAGATGCTGCATTCTTCTTTTGTTGGCACTATGGTAGGAGCTAAACTTAACAACAAATAGCAGTAAGGAACTGGACTGTGCCCAGATCAAGATTTTCATGCTCTCAAGCATTTTAATATAAACACCATTATTTTCAAAATAAATAAGGTCTTTAGAGTCTTTACTCTGTATTAGAAAAACAACAATATAAAAACCAAGCAGACTACAAGCCAAACAAAACTTTAAAAATCCTGATGATGGACTTCTGATGCTCTCGCATACAAGTCCACCCTGTTCTGTGTTCTGTTATCTGTTATGCTTTACAAGCAGCACAGAAATGAACCTAAAGTAGTCAAGATGAAGTAACTCTCAGATTTTCCTAGATGACAACTAAGCTGCAGCAGCCACTGCACATACAGCTCCTATGTGTCAACCGCTACATCTAGTCTGCAGTGGGAAGAGTAATAATATGTTTCTGATGAAATGACTCTTTTAGATGGATAGTGTCAGTAGTGGAGATGCTGAGACACATGTAAGAGTAAATATGTACAATCCAGTATAACAGCTCATTAGATAGTTGCAGTAGTTGTTGATCGGCGCAACTTTCATATTTTCAGGCTTTAGCTAAAAATTTGCATCTCCTTTAATTGAGGATATTGCTTAAAGTGGTGGGGAAAATTAATGATCAGAATTTTGATATGAATGGAACCCCAAAAGTTCCATTAATTAAGTCATATTAATTAAGATTTGAACATGTTTAGATGCGAAAATGTTGTTTTAATTTTTAAAATTAAGCATTTAAAAAACTTTCAAATACTTAAACGTATCTTATTTTTGATTTCTTATCATGATTAGAAATGTAAACACTGAATAGCTGGAGAAAGACTGCCTGTTCATTTGAGATTTACAGCTCACTATTGCAGTCTCCGAAATTAAGATGCTCACCTGAGCTCCAAACCTTTGAATATTTGCTTTTGTCTTCTAATGTATAAGGGCATTCCTTTGAAAATACCGGATCACATAAGCTGCATAGTTAGCACTGAATTCCCTGTATAAAGAACAGTAATCTAGAATTGTCAGACTATAATCCCTGTTCCTCATGATAAATCTGCTGCATAGCCATTACGTTATTATAGTATCATACAGTTAAGCAATTAAAATAAAAATTAAACTCGTGTTATCTGACACTTTCAAATTGTGGTTTTGATGGACAATATGAAAACAGGAATAGTGAAAGGAGTTTTATATTCCTCCCATTTCACTGACCTTCATCCTTATTTCTAGCTTTGCCACTCAAATATCAAAAGATCTAGTGTAATAAAGGATGACAGGAAATACATCTGACAAAACTCTCTCTTAAGTCTTGTTGAATAAAATATTCAATGGAAATGCTTCTTAGCGCCAGCAGGTTAGCATTGAAAGTGTAATGATTTTAAAGGAAGCCTAAACACCCCTCTGACAAACGACAGCTCCAGATTTTAAAATTAAGATTTGAGATAAAGATGCTGCTGAAGTTATCAAATGCAATGTACCCAGCAGTTGTCTAATGCGCATGCTCACGACAATACTATTTGTCTGTCAGAAAATCACCTGCATCGGTGATCTAACGCTGATGATGCTGGCACACGTTATGTAAAGTAGAAGCCCTGATCATATTGTCAGTCACACAGCCACGGTTCTTGCCCTTCTATTTTATACAAAAAGTTGCCCTCTCAAATTTCTCTAGCATAGTTGGAGGGACCAGCTTGTCTGAGCTTTGCATTAACAGTTGTTTCCATTCGCTTGAAAAATAAATCGGAAAAACCCAGCCTATAAAAGCTATTTTATTTTGCTTATTTGTTTTCAGTAATAACCATGCTAAATACTAAACATACTGAAGGCTTATATTTTAGCTAAGCTATTCTGGACAAAATTCTCACAACTACAGATACGCGTTGAAGCCTAATATAAGAGTGTAAATTCCAGGCAATTATTTGGACATATCTGCACATACTTCCCACACGGGGTTTTTGCATACCAGGTTTGAAAAACCACGGACATGGTGCAAGCTGAAGTTGACTTCTGCTGCAAACTAGTCAAATGTGTTTGCACAACTTTTCTAGCATTCTCCAGCCTCCCCAAAGCCTCACCACCAGAGAACAGTGTCTCCTTCAACCTCTGATGCTATCAGAAGAGCCTGTTCTTTATGGGTAATTATGAATGCAGAATCCTTTTTCTGTGTTTTACATAATACGTTCAATTATTTTGAATTGCTATTAGTATTTTCCCAAATTGAATTGAGGAATACAGATTTTTTTAATGCTATATCCAGACACTTAAAATGCAAGACTACTAATATGGGCTCCTTGCCATTATTTATTGCCCAGGCAGCATTCAAGGAGGATCCGTGTCACTGGAATGAGAATGAAGGTCCTCTCATCACTTGACTCGTTTTACATTTCTCTTGGAAAAGTTATCTTTCTGGGAATCATTGTTCCTCCACTTTTCAAGAAGGGATTTCAATAAAACTTGGAAATTTGAATGTAGATTTCAAAGATCTGTGTTTGAAAATGTGAAATTAAGTTCAGTCATCAGGCAATACTGACCAAAAGTGTCTTTTGTTTGGTTTCTTGATAACAAAGCTTCAAGATAAAATAAACAGAATGTTGCTTAAGTTGATAGATACAGTTTTAGATTTAGAATTCTTTTAAAACTTCAAAAGAAAATGCCTCATTTTACTCTTAAAAGCTCTGGTATCAGGTAATTATTTAAAAGTTGGGCTATTTCTTATACAAAGACATTTCTGGTCTCATTATCCTTATGCAGACACAACTCCCATTGAAATCATCCTGAACTTTGCTTCTGTGACTAGTATGGGTTTGAATGAGATGCTGAGATTTCCAGGAGGCTCATTGTTACACTTTTTATGCTTTGCTGTATATTCTATTCTACTTCTCCTTTATTGTGGCAAAACTACTGCTTGGTTTTCTTTTGTTCCAAATAGCTATTCATTCTTTTTTAAGAGAACAAAAATAGAGGGGGAAAAAATCTGTATCAAAGGAAATGAATATTTGTGTCTCAGGGAATGCTTCCTTTTAAAAGTTCCTTGAAAAACTGCAAGAAAATAAAACAAAACCTGAGATATATTCTGGGTGGACTGCGGTGTATAAATATCTGTATTTTGACCCAATCTGTTTTAAGCAAGTCCATTAACAAGAATGTAGTTAATTTGACTTTTACACTGGTATAAAACAGCAGGCAAATTAACTAGATTCTGAGTATACTTAAATTATTATTTCTCCTGGCACTAGATTATTTGGTGAAATAATTTTTCCAGAGATCCCTCCCCCTGCCTTCTAACAACCTGCTGTTTCTTGCCACTGTTGTCATCAGAAAGCTCTTACAGACTAAAATACACTAAATAAAGCAGACATTAGCCAAGAACTAGATGCAAAAGCCGCTACAATAAATGCTCCCTATCATGGAGTGGCCTATAAACATAGGATTTCCAGCGTGCAACAAACTTCATCCAGTGCATCAGACGCCCCTGGGAAAACTCTTTAGAGAAAATGAAACAATCCCTATGTACTGAGTGAATATATATATGAGATATTCATTCAAATATGTGAGAACAGACAAAAAAGCAGAGTTGTGAGAATACAGCCTCATCTTTAACGTCATCCTTGCACGGAAGATGAGCTTGGAAAAGAAAGTTCTTAGGACTCTTGGGTACATATCGTGTATTCGGTAGATACTGTTTTTTATGGCACATAGCAGTTTTCTGTGTAAGACACCCTCAGTGTTCCAAGGACAATAATTAATTGGTTATCTGTCAAACTTATCCCGCAGGACCTAATCATCTCCCTTTTTGCTAACGTTCCCTTCTTCTCCAAAGGTGCTTTTTCTTTCAAATTTTATAAACGATTACCATAATTAATTTAAACATGGAGATTTGTTTGCAAGCTGCCCTTATAAGTCTGTGGTTTCTTTTTCAGGCCTTGCTGGTGTTGCATGCCTAAACCCATGTCTGTTCTTCTGTCTGCTATATAATACTGTCTCACAAAAAGTGCTACCTCTTGCTATAAACTGAGTCTTACTTAGAAAATTTATTAATTAGTTCCCATTATCCTTCCTACCTTGCATATTTCCCTCTCTACTTATAGTTTTATGTAATTTGCTTTGCTTGGCTTTGGTTTTTTTCATTAGACTGTGAGCTTTTAAGTTCAGGGATATAACTTGATATAATAGGATCTCATTTGATAAGATGCCGGCAGGTAGTACAGGATGTAAACAGTAGAAATAATTGTCCATAAATGCTTATTAATGCAAATATATCTCCAGTACTTATTTAGAGCATTTTATTTCAAATTTTCTATTTTGATCTAAAAGTTGTCTTTGTATTAGACTCTTGCTCATCCAGGCTGTGAAGTTAAGCACTGAAAGTTCTGCTGCTGCCAAGGGGTCAAGGAGAGATGCGTCACCAGATAAAAGTCAAGCTGATCGTTTTTAGTTGCTACTGGCTACTAATTTGATGAACCTCCATATAGGACAGGTGTAATAAGACATTTGTCTAATGTTCCCTAGTTTCCAGATGTCCTTGCCATGTCTGAACAGAGCACTGACATTTCTGTCATCAAGTTTTAGTTTAGAACCTCAAACTCGAGGTAGTTTGAAATGTTTTGTGGTGATTAAAGAGAAAAGAAGTTCTACTCTCTCCAGAACATTAATGACAGACCAGATGACACATCTTCCATACAAGAAATAAGATTAAGCACTTTGAAAGCCAAGGCATTTCAATAGAAGTGAAATTGAGCTTTTCGGAGCAGACTATCCAATCACCTCACATAGCAAGCAAATCACTCTGCTTGAGTGATTTTATAATGCGGAATGTTTTTAGAGGACTATTGCGAGCTTCGTATCATCCTCAACCACAAACCACCATACACTTGCTATAGAAATGACGCTATTAGGGGCAGCTGTATAAGTGACAAATCTGCACATAGATTGCCAAATAAAGTAGTACAAATTCTATGCAGTAGCTGTGCTTTTTAAACCTTTCAATTTTGTGAAATACACTTCTCTAATGATGCTCATGTTGTTATTCCAACAATCGATTACATCCAATCACTTTAGGATTTTAAAGCTAGTCTGGAAAAACATCAGAAAACGTAATTTTTCATGAACTTGCAGTCAGCTGTAGTGAGTGAGTTGACAGGCATTTCCTCCTTCTACAATCTTTTGGATCACTTTTACTATTTGGTCATGAATTTGGGAAGAGAGATGCCAGGCCGCTCTACATTCTACTTACAACTGTGCTGGTGATGTTTGCTATCTCTGTCAAAGTGGGACAGAACAACATTCATTTTCTCAACAATCAAAATTGGAGCCCTACGTTATCAAATTGCAACCTGTTTTCGCACCTCAAACCAGTCAGAACTATGCTGGAGCAAAATTCAGTGAGCAACCCTCACCAAGTATTCTTCCCAAGCCACTAAGCCACTGGGTACCTGTTTGTTTTAAACCTTCTGATAAAGAAATAATGACATTTCAGCATACAACATTATTTAACGTCCAGGCTTGAGATGTAACTTTTCATATTTTTAAAGTTTTCATATTTTTAAAATCTTTGTCTTCCTCTTCAGAGCCAGGCAATTTTGCAGGATGGAGAGAAAGGAGGGTATGGCTATGTAGTTAATTGTTTTTACTTTCTAACTTGCTAGTAAGAAAGTGTCATTGCTTTTCAGAATATAAAACTGTGCTTGTTTTTTGGTGAAGGCTGCAAAGTTGGAGACTTGTGGAACCTGTGGAGTATGTTTATTTAGTGTTTCTCACACAGACCTGGACTTTCTCAGTTTCCTCCTCATGGCCAGCCACAACCATGTGCCTCCAACACGGAGGGTGAGCAGGGAAAGCTTAACGTCTGTCAGCAAAATGCTCTTTTCCCCTAACCAGTTGAGGTTGTGTCTGCCAGTTGACTTACCCGTACTGTGACCTGCTTTATTCCTCTGACTCCGTCTGAGGAAAATGGGTCTAAATTCTGCACGTATTATCTAAAGCTTTTGGAATGTTTGTTTCACGTTATCATTGGAGCCTTACTTATCAGCTGTTTTTAATCCTCTGCAAACATGGTTTAAAAGAAAGCATTGGGAAGAGAACAAAGTAATCTAAATCTCTATGTGGATTTGCATCAGTGATGTAGTATAGGCAAAGGACAAATCCCCCAAAGCTGTGGATCCCCAATTATAGGACTTGCCTTGTACATGCTGGAACAGCAGGAGCTGTCAAGTCTGTAGCTGTCCTCTGCACCGCTGCCATTGGCTCACAGCAGAAGGCTCACAGAGCAGAAATTACCTTTGCTGTGAGCCCTTCCCTAAAGTTTGGTTTCCAAAGGGGTCTTCACCCTGCAGTGACTGAGAAGTGTGGTGGGTGGAATGACTCGTTCCTTGCTTCTCCTCACTCTCAGGCTGTGCTCTCCTGTGCCCTTGTTGGAGAACACCAGCTAAAGAGATGTTTGTGTGGGGAAGGGAGAGGGATGTTCCCTGTGAGTGGCTTTTTTTCAGATTTCCCATCACCGAAGCCTGACAGAGACTTCATTGTTTATAATTACTGTAATTTTTTGTTGCCAAGTTGTAATGCAAAATGCCTATGCAGATATTTTTATACGTTTACAGTATTGTCTGGCAGGTGGGGACTTTGTAAAGATGAACTTGTGAATTCTGGGTGATTTGATGAAACCGTTTTATTGTGAATGCTTTGATATGGATGCAATCCATGATATACTGTTAAGGCAGTATCGTGTCTCTCAGAGCAGGACTGAGGGCTGGGTGAGGAAGGGGTGAAATAGCTGCGCTTCTGGGCGTGCTCTTCAAAACATGGGTGTGGGGATGTGAAAATTCAACCTCTAATGATTCCCTGCAGAGCTTGAAGCAGTTAAATCCTTTCACTGGATATAACTGGAGTTGCACCAAGCCTAAATTTTACTCATTATTTAGTATTCTAACATTTGCTTTGAAACACTGTTTTATAGATTAATTATATAGCATGCCTTTATGTTCTCTCTTTATAGAAAGTGTTTCCAAAAAAGGTTGTAAGATTTCCTTTTACATTACCTGATTTAAATTAAACAGCAGAACCATAACATGCTGTAGTCATCTTTTAACCTAAAGCACAGCACTATGGTAGTGTATTATTATTTTTTGTTAACTTGGAAGTTTGGTGAGTACCAAATGGAAATGTTAACAAATGGAATACACTAAAGCAGAACTCACATGATATATTATTCCTGCTCCTTTGAACAAATTTGTCTTTGTGCTCTAATATAATAGGATCAGATTTGACCTCTCACTTCACAATGTTGTCATTGTATTGTAAATAGCAAATATAGTGTTCTATATACATACTATCATTGCAGTTAGACTTGACTTGGCCTCATGCTGCCTTGTTTCACTGAAGTCAATGAGGTTACATGGTTAAGTGAGAGCAAAATATACTCCTTCCATTTAGATTAAAATGGCAAATTACAGCTCTGAGTGCTTCTGGGAACACAGCGAAAGTGGCAATAAAATTAAATTATAATTTATGCATTGATCTGAAATAGGAAACTTTGAGTGCTCAGGAATATTACAGAAAATTGCAGCTGCTAGTGTTGAAATTTTGAGCCTGTTTCTTCATTGCATCTTC